CGTATAGCCCAAGCTCCCAGAACAGAGCCAGGACAGCAAAGGCCCTCCGCCAGCATTTGCTGAGTGACTGAATGTGAACGGTTTGAACGTAAACTTTCACCCCTACATTAACTGATCAGAATTCATCTGTAAGGAAGAGCTGTCCCTTCTCCGCCAGTTCATGTATGTATTAATTCAGTTATTTATTCTATTTTATTAGGTTATAATCCAATACTATCATTTATTTTATTGTTCAAATTCTTCTAGTGTTGGTTATTGGGAGTGGCTTTGGTTTGAGTTCTGTGTCCCATATATATATTTATAAAATTTTTTAGTATTTCCTTCCTTTCTGGCAACTCAAGATGCACCAGACTTGTGTTTTGCCTGCCCCAGGCATAAAGTTAATGGCTTCTCCAAGGAGTTCTGGTTCCGTTTTTTAGAGAATGGTACTTAGAAACCAAAGTCCAGGTGCCCGGTGTGCTCGTTGCTATCGGGGCATCAGAGTATCCAAGCATACACACACACCTATATTTACTATTTACTTCTGTGTCTAACTGTACTATCTGACTCTATCTACCTACCTATCTATCTATCTATCTATCTATCTATCTATCTAATCTTTCTCTCTATATTGAGGACCATGAATTAATACTGGGACTTCTGATTCCAGCTAGCACAAGGTTTGTTCTAGCTTCCCATCCTCTTGACTTCCTTGTAATTGCTTTCTCTGAGAGGAACCTGGCTCTCATCACCTACAATTTATTTACTCATTTGTTCAACCCCGGGTTCACATAAATGAGCTACAGCATAGCTTACCTGGGAGAACCAGTTTCTACTGGAATACAGCATTGGTGTATAGGTATCTTTGTTTCTAGCCTAACAGTATCCAGTCAAAACACTGTTTTCCAAGTTACTTTGATCAGCTCCTTTCTCTCTCCCTCCCCCTTCATTTAGAGCACAGTTGGGTTCATGTGTTACTGTTTTCCATTTTTGGGGTTCCCACCACATTCTGGTTGACGTTAGTTAGTTATTGTTTGGGGTATGTGAGACAGGACCGTGATTTTAAGAGTCAGAGCTATTTCAAAAAGGTGTACTCAGAGCGAGTCACCCCACTTCACTCCAGCTACTGTTTCCCCTTCCCCCTAATTCTTTTATACCCTCTCCCACCAGCCCTTGTAGGTCACCAACCATGTTCCTCAGGATCCATCTGCCTGTCAGGCCCATGGGGGGTGCTGATGGCACCGAGACTGTGTCCTTATGCTCACGGGGCTCACGATCAAGTAGGGGGATGGTCATGGGACCAGAGAGCTACAGCAGGGGTCCCTGGGGCTGTGGTGGGGGAGGAGACCGGAGTGGCTTGCCTGGGGCCTCCCCCCCACAAAACACTCTCACACCCTACTTCCCGGAACCTGTGACTATGACCTTATTTGGAAAAAGTGCCTTTGCAGATGTAACTACGTTAAGGGTTCTGAGATGATGAGGCGGTCCTGGATTATCCGGGTGGCCCTAAATCCAGTGACTGGCGTGCTTGTACGAGAAAGGCTGAGGGACATCGGAGACAGAGAAAAGACACGGACACATAGAGAGACGGCCGTGTGAAGACATAGGGTGGAGAGGGATGCGGCCACAGCCAAGGGACACCTGGGGAAACCAGAAGCTGCAAGAGGCAGGAAGGATTCTCCCCTGGAGCATCCGGAGAGAGTGTGGCCCTGTGACAGCTTGGTCTCGGACTTCCGACCTCCTCCAGGACCGGAAGGAATAAATGTCTGTTGTTTTAAGCCACCAGTTAATGGTCCTTTGAAACTAAGCTGGGGGCAACAGAGCAGTGGAGGCCACCTGGAAGAGGAGGGAGGGAGGCTGTCTTGCCTGGGAGGTCCCTCCCCATCCCCCGGAAGCTGCTGGGAGGGGAGCCATCTGTCCCCGTCACCTCAGGGAGACGTCAGGCACCCACTCACTTCTCCCGGCCTCGCCTCCGCCGGCCGCTGTGTCACCCCTCAGGCTGGCCGTCCGTGGCAGCAAATAATTCTTATTTTCTCCATTAAGGGAGCAAAAGCACGAAGTAATCTAACCCATAGATAACGCTCCCTAGCACAGGTGCCGGAGCTCCGAGGTGAGTCCCCCAGCCCAGCCGAGAGCTGCAGGGCTCTCTGAGCCTGGCTTCCAGGCCTTGGGGTCTTTGGGAGCTTTTCTCCCTGGTGGTGATCTCGGGGCTGTGACTCTGTGTCCCCGAGCAGCCTCGCCGGGGCGGGGGGGCAGCCAGAATGGGTGGCCAGGAGAGTAGGGGGGGACAGCTGGTGACGGGGAGATGGGGCAGCAGGCATGCAGGTTTCAGCACTGTCATAAAAGCCGTGAATCGTGACAGCGGGGGTTAGAGCCAGGACTCGCAGGCTGCAGAGGCCAAGGGAGGCCTAAATTCGCTGTCCTTCTCTGCACTGGGGTGACCTGAGGGGGTGGGGGCAGCCTGAGGGGTTGAACACAGTGGGTGTTTGGTCCTCCTGCCAGCAATCAGCAGGATGAGCAGAGATGTTCCAGGTGTGGAGGAAACAGCCCCCAGTGGATGGATGACGATTGGATGGAAGGGCCCAGGCCAAAGTCCCTTTCTTCTCACTGAGCTCTTTGTGGGGTGGGGGTGGGGGGGGGTGCGCTAGGTACAGAGCGCCTAATCAGGGGCCTTTGAGGGACAAGGTGGATCTGGGCACTGAGGGATGCCCCATGAGAGAACGATTCTGTCGCAGGAACAGAGCGGGTATATGGAGGCTGTCACCTCTCACTGTCTCTAAGTCTGAAATGAGTACAAATTTTTTCTGTAAAGGGCCAAATACTCTATGTCTAGCTTTTGGGCTGCCAGGTGGTCTCTGCTCAGCCCTCCCTTGTAGAGCAAAAGCCGCCATAGACGGTACTCAATGAATGGGCGTGCCTGTGCCAATAAAACTTTATTTATAAAAACAAGTGGAGGACTGGATTTGGACTGAGGGCTGTAGGTTGCGGGGACCTTGCCCTAAGAGGCTGCGGTATTCAACACCACGCACCCCTGGCCCAAATCTGATCGACCTCCCTTGAGGGGTCGGGTCTAAACATCACCTCTTTAGGATCCTGACATCCCATCTGACAGGTCTCTGAGACCACGGCTTACCCTCTGTCTCTGCCCTCCTTCTTGTCCTTTAGGACACATGTCAAAGCTGTATATAGGGTCCCTTACATTTCCATCATTTGCCTGCTTTCCTGAACTCTAAATTCCAGAGAAGCAGCGACCGTGTGCCCCTCTTCCTCAGCCACCTTCCAGGTCCTGGCACAGGACGGTTGATATTGGCCACCTGATAAACGACTCAAACTCCAGGGCTGGGCACAGAGCCCAGCACCACATGGACCCCACCGCTCCATGTGGCCGCACGGTTGGGGATCCAGCCTGGTGTCTTAGCCCTGGCCTCAGTCCACGATGGCCTGTCCCGAACTGCCTCCCCATTTTATGACGTTTCAGAGAGCGCTGGGAACAGCGGGCCATCTATAGCCTTGCTGAGATCACCTGGGTCAGCCACTTGCACTGCTGTTGTCTGTGGCCCCCTCCTTGGCGCTGAGGACCGACCATGTCCGCCAGGCCCCAGGCAGGCTCAGAACATGCTGACTCACCTGGTCGATGTCACAGAGACTCCCCCGCAGCAATGGGGAAACTGAGTCCCGGTGGCTCTGTTGAGGGCGCTGGAAGCAGCATCTCTATGAAAGGGGGTCTGGGAAGTGGGGTGATGGTGGCAATGACTGGATGGAGATTTCAGGACACAGCACCCTGAAGGACACCCGTTCTGCAGAAGAAACACCGAGGCCCGGGGGGCGCCCTGTCCACGGCCCCATGCTCCTGACCTCCCCCACATCACTGTCTTGCACAGACACTCCAGGGCCCACCTATCCAGTAAGTATATCCCCTGGGTGCTGATGTCTCCTAAAGGCCCTCCTCTGGCCCTCGGCCCCATGTCCAGCCATGTACCTTCATATGGGGGGGATCGTGCTCAAAGCTGAGCTCCTGGCCTCTCCCCACCCCGAGCCTACCCATCTCAGGTCATGGCAAAAGCCATCTATCCAGATGCTCAGCGCAGCCCCCTCTGTCCTGGTCCCCAGCTCCCACCTCACCCTACGGTCTGTCCTCCTCTCAGTAGCCAGAGGGCGCCTGTGAGCAACTGTCAGGCCCCGCCCCTCCTCCTTGGCCCACAGCCCTCCAGGGTCCCACCTCCCTGGGGGTAAAAGCCCAAGTCCTCCCCGCGGCCCACAAGGCCCTGCACGGCCTGCCCCGTCCCCTCCCTGCCCTCCCCTCCTCCATGTCTCCCCCTCGCTCACTCTGCTCCTGACACAGCGGCCTCCTCACTGTCCCTCCAAACATCCAGGCCCGGTGCTGCCCCAGGGCCTCTGCACGGGCCGTGTCCCAAGAAGTCCCCATGGCTCAACCTCTCATCTCCTTCAGGACTCCCAGTTCTTCACATCACAGCTGACATCCCATTTTACGTACTGTCTAACTCTCCCACTGGTGACACACCTACTGCTGTATCCCCAGTATTGGCTGGACAAGCGACACGGTCATGAATACGGGGGTCCCAGCCTCACCCCACTGTGGGAGACCCCACTGTCTCCCATATGCCCAGCGGCCGCCCACCACAAGATACGCTCCCCGGCTCAGATGTCACAAGAACTGGGTTGAGGCTGGGAGGGCCGGGGGAGAGGGTGGCCACAGGCCCTGACAAGCAAGGGGTGGGTCAGACGAAGAGGGTCCCTGACTGCCTCTGATGCTGGGGGCCTGTGTGGGGCCAAGCTTCAGATGTCCAGCTCAGGAAGGAAACTTCTTCCACCCTGGAGGCGGGGAGCAGGGGCTGCGGTGCCAGGCCGCGTGCCCCACCCCCCGCCCCGCCTCCGGGTAGGCTCCACGCCTGTTCCATCCTGGAGGGGGAGACCGGAGCCCACCCCTGCCGGAGAACGCCGACCGCCGACCGCCTTTCCGGCGCCCACTCAGAAAAGAAGACACTGCAAAGACCTGGAGCTGTAATTCGCAGTGCTCGCGAGCCTTTAATTCATTATGAACCTAGAGGCAGGGGAATTAGGCAAAAATACAGCGCGCATCCTTAATCTCAGGTGGGAAAAAAACCAGGGTGGGTGGGTTTGTTTTTTGCTTTCGCACACAGACACGGATGTTATCTTCGTGGGGGAAGTGTGCGTTCCCCTTTGCTGTGAGACCACCTGTCTGCACGAGTTGTCTGGGAACCCACGACCGACGGACGGGGTGCAGCAACCCAGAGGGACCGGCCACGGGGGCCGGCCCACCGCCCAACCCAGGGCCGCAGGGGCGTCTGCCCGCTTCCTTTTATTCTCTTTACAATATAAATAGCATTTTCAAACTACATATGAACACAGTGACAGCGCCCTGGGGCAGGGGCTGCTGCATGCAGAGGAAACCCAGACATTCCGCCGACTCCCCTGGCACCTCCCGCCCCACCCGCCCCTCCGGGTCACCTGCCCCCTCCCCATCAAGGAAGTTGCTCTCCACTTCCCTTACATGGTTCTCTCTGGCCTGGCAACCGTTAGAGCCTCTTTTTTTAAATTAAAAAAAGTTCTATACAAGCAAATGACGCCCTCAATCCCCCTACAGGGGACAGCGGGGCAGCTGAGAGGCAGGGGGCTAAGAAGCACGTTTTTGCCTGGAAACTCAACCCACAACCCTTACGAGGCAGATTTCCTCTGAGCTGAAAACGATTCCCTCGCGCTCTCTCTCTCCTGGACACACAAATCCACGCGTCACGGAGAGGATACAGGATGTGCCAGCCCCTCGGGTTCCGGGGAAGACCCCCTGCACACCTGGGCCGTAGCCGGACCCCCCGAGGACCGCCCACCCGAGGCCTCAGCTGGGGGATGGGTCTCCCGAGGGGAAGAAGCAAAAGATGGAGCCACCAGAGGAGAGAGCGTTTATTTTGCAAAAGGCCACGCAGACAAGGGGCAGGCCACCCAGGGAGCTGCCGGTCTCCTCCCATTGGGCGCTGGCGGCGGTGCCAGCCACCTGGACCTTCTCGATCTCACGACTGGGAGAGAGTGAGTGACCAGGCGCCACCGTCCGGGATCCCTGGGTGCCCCCAGGCCTCACCGCAGCTACAGTGCATCCCCGCCACTCAGACCAGCGAGACCAGAAAACACAACAAACGAAAAGACGAGCTGCCTTCATCTCCCGCAGCAATCTTGGTTCTGAGAAAAAGGACATTTTGTCTTGTTGTTTTTAAAGCCACAAATCTAGAAAACAACTTTGGGGCTTGTTTTTCCGTTTCTTTCCTTCTCTTCTTGCGTTTTTTTTAAACAATAGGTATTTATAGAAAGAACCTCACAAAGGTGATTTATGTACAGAAGTCACAATCTCAAAGGCTGCTCAGGAGGCAGGCAATGCAGTAGCACCTTTTCGAGAAGAAGAGCTTACGTGGTTTACGAATCTGGGTTGAGGGGGTGGCGCGTGCCCCCGCCGGCCCCCCAGAGCCCACGTGGCCCTGCTCCCTGAGTCCGGGGGCGCGTGTGGCGTCCTGCTCGCTCCTGTCGCCGAGGTAGCCTCTTGGGCCACGGAGGCGAGGACAGGGATTCACAGCAAGCAAATGCCTGGGCCCGCCGCGCCTGCCTTGCTGGGCCAAGGGGTCGCCGGGCGGCCGGCTGTCCTAGAACGGGGCTCCGGGCCAGCACTGCGCCTGCAGGAGGCTCTCCATGAAGGCCGGGTAGTCCGGGTTCCGCCCCGAGTCCTCCGCGGCGCGAGGGGTGCCCACCCGCGGGCGCTTGGCGGCCTTCACCTCTTCTCCCGAGAAGACATTTTCCTGCGGGGCCCCCGTGGTGACCGACTGCAGGAGATCAGACGGCACTGGGGTTAGTGCGGATGGGGTGCTGTGGCCTTTAGGTCTGTGTCCCCCCCCCAGAGTCCTGTGTTGAAGCCCTACCCTGCCACAGTGTGATGGTATCAGGAGGTGATGAGGTCATGAGGGTGCAGCCCTTGCGAATGGGATCAGTGCCCTTATAAAGGGATCCCAGAGAGCTCTCTCTTGCTCTCTCTCTCCACCATGTGGGCACACCAGAAGGCAGGTGTCTGTAAGCCAGGATCCAGCCCTCACCAGGCGCCGAATCTGCTGATACCTTGATCTTGAACTTCCAGCCTCCAGGACTGTGAGAGATAGCTTGCTGTGTAAATTCCAGTCTGTAATATTTTGTTATCACAGCCGGAACAGACTGAAATACAGGCTCCGCTCGGGGGCCTGGCTGGAGGAGATGCCTGCCCTGCTGGGGGTCAAGGGCCCTGGGCTGCTGACCCTCAGCCAATGACAATGTTCTGAGAAACAACGCTCACTGAGTGAGCCCCCCATCAGGCAGAGGAGGGGCCCTAAGCTCCCAGTCACTGGCTCCCTAGCAGGACGGGCACCCTGCCATCCACAGAGTGCAGGAGGCAAGGCCAGGGTGTATACAGGCCACTCGTCTGCCTGGCAGCTCCTGTCCGTCCCCCAAGGGAACCTGGCATCTGAGACCCCCACCAGCTCTGACTCAGCTCTTCCACCCATGGCCACAGCCCCCAATCCTCAAAACCTTGGATTAAACACTAAAGAAAGAAGACAGTGAAAGGCTGTGAGAAGAGGCCAGTCTCCCCTGTTCCTTTGTGCATTGCTGACCTGCAGCTCAGATCCATGTGCAGGCGCTTCTGTCTCCTCCTCGCCGGCCGGGCTGACCCTCCCATCCCAGACCAGGCAAAGGCCAAGGCAGGAGGTCAAGGCCACCTGACGGGTCACTCTCCCAGGCAGCAGCGCTCACCCCCACCCCCAGCCACTTACCAGCCGGGACCGGACCCTCTTGGGGAGCTCCTCGTCCAGGGTGAAGATGTCACCACGCTTCACTGTCAGCTGGGACCCATCCTCGAACTCCACCTGCCAAGGGGACACAGTTCAGCTTGCTGGCTGCTCAGCCTGGCTGGCTGAGGCCCGACACCCGCACTCTCACGGCCTGCTTGCCAGACAAGCCACGGGAAGCAGCACAGGGTCAGCAGCTATCATCTTTCCCGCTGGGATACGGGTGGTTTCTCGTCAAAGATTCCACCCCTTTCAATAATTTCTTTTCCACAATTACGGTGAGAAGCTCACAACCAACTTGGTTTTTAAAAAAAACAAGGGCACTGAATTGTACGCTTAAAAATTGGTTAAAACAGTAAATTTTATGTTATGTATGTTCTACCACACCCACACACACACACACACACACACACCGGGAAGACACCTCCAAAGGGGATAATATTGGACAGTTGGACAACCTTCCAGCTTGTGCTGACCTTCTCAGTTAGTGGGCAAACGCCATCATCCCCAGCAGGACCTCTTCGAGGGCCCCGCCCCAGCCCATCCCTGTACCTGGTAGACAGGACCCCCTCACCTGGTAGATGTGACTGGTCACAGAGGAAATGAACTTGGCCCTGTAGATGTTGCCATCAGTCCACCGGAGCTCAACAAACTCGCCCTCAGGTGGGGGACCCAGCCGGGCACAGTCTCTACTCTGTGGAAGGAAGGACAGGCGGGGGGTAAGGGGCGCCCTCGGCCTCTGTCACCGCGCTCGCCTGGGCTAAGAAAGGTCCCATCTGGTAGATTTTGCCACCAGGAAGAAGGCAGTGCTCTCAGCTTGAACTATCAAGGGGAGCTGTGGGCAGGTGCCGAGGCCGGGGGTGCCGTGGCCATCCCAGCCCTGGGGTATCGCCCACCTGCAGGCATATCTAGACTGGCCTGGCTCTCTGCTGTTTCTACAGAAACAGGTGGCGCTTTCTAGCTGGGGCCCTACAGCCTGGGCCTGTCCATCAGGGACAATGGTGACCCTGGATGCAGGGGACCCCTGTGAGGGATCCGGCTACCTCCCTTCCTAAGGGCAACGCTTGCCCTGCGCCTGTGCCCGCCCCTCGCCCCACCCACCGCCACTGGCCCTGCCCCCTTCAGCCCTGCGCTGCTCACCGTGATGCTCTCTGGGTACAGGTTATCGCTGTAAGACCCGTCGTCAAAGTTCACTTCGTAAAAGGTCTGCGTGGTGGTGCCGATGACGCGGCACCGGTAGTAAAGCCCGTTGCGGTTCTTGGTGATGACCACCTGCCCTAAGGACACGGCCCTCAGGATCTGGACCTGGAGGCGGAGGGGGTGTCAGAACACAGCGGGGCGGGTGGGCGGACAGGGAAACAGGGCGGAGGGCAGGAGGGCACTCACAGTGTGACCCCCCGACTTGTGCTTGAAGCAGGTGATGGAGACAACGTAGGGCCAGTCGTCTGGCTCCATGAGGACGCCAGCGGCGTGGGCGCAGGTCACGTGGAAGGAGGTGGAGCAGTGCTCGCAGGAGCACTGGATGCAGGCGCCCGACACCTTCTTCATCCGCTTCCGGCAGTACACACATTTCTGCGGGGACACGGCGGTGGGAATGGGGCTCTGGCCGGTGCCTCTGCCCCCGCCCCCGCCCCCGCCCCCTGGGGCTGGGAGGCCTCCTGCCGGGCCCCCAGGTCTGTCTCCTGGGAGTGACTCTGAGACCCAGGGCTGGAGTGCGGAGTCCCGGCAGCCGGCCTTGAGTGGAGGCATCCTGGGAGAGTCTTGACCGCGATGTAGAGCCCCCCACAAACCACCCCAGGCCCACCAAGGAGCACTTCCAAGACTGGAATAGGCACCAACAATCACACAGTGCCCCCCAGGAGCACTTCCCCCCAGGAGCACTTCCAAGACTGGAATAGGCACCAACAATCACACAGTGAAACGTGATTCATCCATGAAAAGGAGAGAGGCACTGACACTCGCTACAACGTGGATGGACCCTGAGAACACGATGCTCAGCGAGAGAAGCCAGGCACAGAAGGACACACAGGGTGTGATTCCACTGATGGGAAACGTCCAGAACAGGCAGGTAGATCCACAGAGACAGCCAGTGCGTTAGGGGTTGTCAGGGGCTGAGGGAGGGAGATGGCAGTCACCCGATAGGGAGGGGGTTTCTTTCTGGGGTGATGGAATGTTCTGGAACTAGATAGAGGTGATGGTTGCCTAACTCTGTGAATGTAGTAAAAGGAAAATGTTCTCTTTAAAATGGGGGATTTTTTTTTTAAAGAAAATAAATATATAAATAAAATGGGGGATTTTATCTTAATTTTGAATGAGAGACGCTGCAGTGTAGCCCTTCATAAGGAGGGGCAGAGGGCCCACACCGTGGGAACGCCCTGCCTGGGTGACCTGCTCTGCTGGGCATCAGCTCCCAGGCCGCCGATGTGCACCTACGCCCACGCCCTGCCACCACTCAGCAACCACCAGCCCGTCACTCTGGGCGTTTAATAAGCGGGCCTTCACCGCTTTGTAAACCGCATTCAAAAGCCAGAGAAGCCCCACAGCAAAGGCGCTGCAGGAGTGCTGCCCGGCGCCAATCGATGGCAATGATATCTCATTATTAAACCGTCGATGCCTGATTCTCCAGCCGGCCTGCGGGGACAGGTGCAGAAGCACAACACGGCCCTTGAGGACTGTGCTCTGCGTGGCTCCACGGGGAGCGGAAGGTGGAGCACAGCTGCCCTGGCGACCGGGCCGCGACCCCACAGCCGAGGCCCGGGAGAAACCTGACAGCCAGGCCTGACACGCAGCTCGTTCAATCCAGCCTCCGGTGGCAGCTCATTATTCCGAGTTTACCCGTCATGAGGAATACAGGCCAGGCCCCCATCGGGCCATTTATCAAGGGCTGAGCTCAGGGCTGCCTTAAGGGTGAGTCCCGTGTCTGGGACTCCCTCACTGGAGGCAGTGAGGCGGGGGTGGGGATGGGGGGTGGTACAGGGTGGGGTGTGGACATTGGTGGAGAACAGTGGCCAAGAGGAGGCCAAGGGCTGCGGCTGGGTGTGCCATCAGCCATGGAGGCTGCAAGGCACCATGTCCTATGTCTCCGGCCTCCCCTCTTCCCCACCGGCCCCTGCCGTCATCCCTCACTGCCTGCCTGCCAGCCCACCCTCCCTCCCATCAGGATGTGACACCGGCCTCTACACCTCACGGCAGGGCCAACGAGAGGGCAGAGCTGGTTCAGGGCACCCGCCCCGGCAGCCTCGCAACCTGACCTGGCCTGGTGAGAGGGTGAGCACGAGGCTCAGGCCGCCGGCAGGCTGGGGCCACCCCCGCTCACCAGGACCAGTGGCCAGGGAGTCACGGGGACAGACAGTTGGGCGGGTGACCAGGCGTGACCGTCCCCGAGCCTGCGGCCTGCACATGGCCCCAGGGAGGCAGGCGGGCGCCGGGCACGCAGGAGTTAACCACCGGCTTCCGTGCGAGGCTCCATTAGGCAGTACAAGCGAGCCTGGTGTAAAAGGATTTTTAATTCATCGTTACAAGTGCTGGTAATGAAGAGGCTGCAAGCTGGAAATGTCAGATGATCCATAAGGCGTCTGGGAGGGAGGCTCTATCACGGCAGAGCGCACCGCACCATCACTCCACCTGAATAATGAGGCCTTTCCCGCCCGTGCTCCTGGAGGAATCACCCGCAGGCGCCAGCCTCTTCCTAACGCCCGTCCTTGCTGGGCGGGGCTGGCGCTGGCCCCAGTGCCCCCCGTTTCCTGACCAAGCCCCGTCCGTCCCCTCCCACATGGCTCCAGCTGGCTGCCCACTCAGCCCTGCCCGGGGGCCCCGCACCTGTGGGCTCCGCGGTCGGTGTCTCTGCCTTCGCTGGGACTCCCCGCTGGGTTCAGTGCCCGCAGCCCCATTTCTTTGCCTCCTGCCCACTAGAGGCCTGGAGGAGCGTCACTAGCCAGGCCTGCGCCAGGCAGCTGGGAAATAAACCAGGCAGGAAAAGCAGCCAGGATGCTGTCCATACCCCTGGGCCAAGGACCTAGCTCCCAGATGCCACAAGACACATCCCATCACCCACATGTCCCCCACACGGCCACCTGCAAACTCACAGGTGGTGATGACCTGAGAGCACATGCTGGTGCTCAGATGGCATGATTAGCGCTTTCTGTTGTGGCCCAGCTGATGCTCCCCACACAGGGGACTTTTAGCAGCCCCATTTTACGGAGGGGAAGGCTGAGGCACAGAGAGGTCAAGGAATCTGTCCAGTGTCACACAACTGGCTGGTGGCCAAGCTGGGAAGGGAAGCCAGTGTTTGCTCACTGTCTGCCTACTGCCCACTGAGCCAAAGCCTCTCCCAGATGGGGGAGGGGTGTGTGTGTGACCAGCAAGAGCAGGAGGCGTGAGCCTTGCAAGACCACACCTGCCCAAGGATGGCCGTGCTCCTTAGAGGGGCCAGTGATGGTACTCCTATAACTTAGGAGCAAAAAAGCCACCAGCCCAGTTCAAAAATAGGCAAAGGACTTGAATAGACGTTTCCCTAAAGAAAACATATAGAGGGGGCTTCCCTGGTGGCTCAGTGGTTAAGAATCTGCCTGCCAATGCAGGGAACACGGCTTCGAGCGCTGTCCGGGAAGATCTCACATGCCGCAGAGCAGCTAAGCCTGTACGCCACAACTACTGAGCCTGCGCTCTAGAGCCCGTGAGCCACAACTACTGAGCTTGCATGCCACAACTACTGAAGCCCGTGCACCTAGAGCCCGTGCTCCGCAAGGAGAAGCCCATGCACCACAATGAAGAGCAGCCCGTTTGCTGCAGCTAGAGAAAGGCTGTGCGCAGCAACGAAGACCCAACGTAGCCAAAAATAAATAAATTTAAAAAGAAAGAAAACATACAGATGGCCAACAGGTACACGAACAGATGTCAACATCACTTAATCATCAGGGAAATGCAAATCAAAACCACCTGTTAGAATGTCTATCATCAAGAAGACAAGAGGTATTGTTGAGGATAGAAAGAAAAGGGAACCCACATGCACTGTTGGTGGGAATGTAAATTGGTGTAGCTGCTGTGGAGAACAGGATGGTGGTTCCTCAAAAAATTAAAAATAGAACTACCATACCATCTGGCAATTTCACTCCTGAGTTTTTGTCTGAAGGAAAAAAAATCACTATCTTGAAAAGACACCTACACCCCCATGTTCACTGCAGCATCGTTTACAACAGCCAAGACCTGGAAGCAACCTAAGTGTCCCTTGACAGAAAACGGATAAAGAAGATGTGATGCAGAAATACAATGGAATATTACTCAGCTATGAAAGAGAAGGCAATCCTGCCATTTGCAGCAATGTGAATGGATGTTGAGAACATTCTGCTCCGTGAAAAAAGCCAGACACAGAAGGACCCATGCTGCGTGGTTCCACTTCCACAAGGCATAGGAAACAAACTCACAGAAGCAGACAGCAGAGTGATGGTCGCAAGGGTGGGGGAGGGGAAATAGGGAGCTGCCGTTTAACGTGTGAGAAGTTTCAGTTAGGCATGATGAAGGCATTCTAGAGCCCTGCTCGATGACTGTAACTGGATTGGGTACTTAAAATTCTGTTTGGCGGCATATCGCAGGTTAGGCAAGAAAGAACTGGGCAGAGTGCGGGTGGCTTCCTCTGTGTGAAAAGCTGGAAATAGAGACGGGGAGGGGCGCCCTGCTTTTCTCCGGGTACCCCCATGGCTATTCAAAGAGTAACTGCTGGCCAAACTGAAATGCGACTTCTGCTTCCCTGGCAGCTACCCTGCATCCCTGGGGCCTAGGGACTCTCCAGGGCCCCTACCAGCTTCCACCGCTGCTCGGGGATGGCGCTGATGTCCACGGGGTGGCGCTCCATCACGTTCAGGAACCGCACTTCCGGGACGGCGATGGCGCAGATCACGTGGATCCACCTGGGGGGGCGGAGCGGGTGGGGTCAGGGGTCACAGGTGCGCTCCGTGCCCTTGGGGTCATCTCATGATTGTGCGCACCGGCTGGCCAGGCCGAGGGGACCTCATCTGCTCCTGCCGGTCCGGCCCCCGCCCCGAATCGCCCCTCAGGACACCCCAGGAGGAGAGTCCCTTCTAACGCACCTCCTGTCAGTCGTCATCTGCAGGGCGCCTCCCCGAAGGTTGCACAGGCAGCACTCCTACAGGGACCAGACAACAGCCAGGTGAGGGGTGTGCAGGGCGGCGCCGCCCGCCTGCTGCTCCGGGACCTGCTCCGTCCCCCGCCCACGGTCCTTACATTTCAAACTAGCGGCCACAGGAAGCGATGGGCCGAGAGAGTGCGTCGGGCTCCACCCGAGACCCAGGGAGGTGAGGCCGCCAGCCCAAGGTCACCCTGCGGGATCGGGCGAGCCCGGGGCCCAGGACCGGCTCCCCCACGGGCCGCGCCGGCTTTCAGAGCACCACCCCAGGGGCTCCGGGCAGGCCTCTGCAGGGGCGAGTTACCGCAGTCCAGGCGTGGGCCGCGCACCGGGAACACGTCCAGCCCTCGTTGACCAGCTCTGGGCGGATGCCGTAGCAACCTGGAAGACAGGGGCCAGCGTATCTGTCACCGCGGCTGCCCGCGGGCTGCACGGAGCCCCCTCCCGCCCCCGGGGCGGGGTGAAGGGCGGCTGCGGCATTGAGGGTAATTGTGCTCACCAACCGCTCTACCTCAATCCGGGCCACTGCACACAGAGCCGGAGAAAGTCTGGAAGCTGACGCGGGGAAGGAGAGCTGGCCCCCAAGCGGGAGCCCTGCCGGGTCTGGAGGCTCAGCCTGGCCCTCGCCCCCCACCCCAGTCTGGGAGGCTCGCCCAGGCTCTTCTGAGCTGAGAGAGAGGAAGGTGGCCCAGCGGTGGTGTGAGATGCAAGGTGGGCCTCGGGGAGCCCTGAGTTCAGAGCAGCAGAGCTGGGCCCAGAGTCCACTGTTTCCAAAAGCGCAGCCGGAGGCTCTGGGTTACCAAGGTGTTGGCTTTGGGATGTGGTCCGGGTTTACAGTCGCAGAGGGAGCATGGGGGAGGGGGCATGGAGGAGGGGCGGAGGACCATGCCTCAGAGCAAGGGCAGAAGGCACAGCCTGCCCCAGGACCCTGCCTCACCCGGGGTCACTGCCCAGCAGTCCTGCGGGGACCCTGAGCCAGCCGGGGCTCGCTACCCACCAAACGGGCTCTGTGGGCTAGAGGGGCCATTGGCCAGTACTGAGAGGTCCCTGGGGAAAGGACAGGGAGAAAGCAAGGCAGCGGGAAGGGGGCACCCTGAGGGACGGCAAGGTACCCGAGAGCCCACACCTGGCCCCCTGCTCCATCCCCTGGGGCCCTCAGCCAAGGTCAGGCCTGGGGGTGTCCCCCTCTGTCTGGTGCCAGGGCTCAAGGAAGATGCCTGTGCTGAGGACTCTGCCTCCCAAGGGCAATGAGGGAGGCTCCTCTCCCCTTGCGTGGCTGGACCTCAGGCCCCTCGAGAGCGGCAGGGTGGTGAGCTTGGCTGCTGCCCACCCCCTCCCCCCCAACCCCAACCCCGGGGGGCCCATCTGCCCAGGAGCACGTCTCACAGCCGGGCCCGGCCGGGCAGAGCAGACGGGTTCCCAGCCAAGAGACAGAGTGAGCTCCGGGCAGGCCTCTGCAGGGCGGGCGCTGGACAGAGATGTACACACGCAAAATTAAGCGGCTCCAGGAAGCTTTCTCCCTGTCCTGGGAGCTTAATCTCACATTCGCTGCCCCCTCCCACCCAAGAAGGGGACAGACATCCATCTTCCTGTCTCAGGCTATGGTTGGGACTTCAGGGTTTGGGGGAGGGTAGTCACCGATGGCAGAGATAAATCCGACCCCTGAACCACTCTAGAACCTCAGCTCTAGCATCAGTTCCAACTCCGGCCCCAAAGTGTGGAGTTTAAAAGCGTCACAGCCCCTGACAGGTACCTGATCTCCTGCGGCCTCCCAGGCCCTGGGCGGGGAGGGCAGGCCTCGGTGCAACCTCCCAGAAGGAGGCTGACCAGGCAGTCCTGCCTTGGCCAGGGGGAAGGGCAGGACACCTGCCCCCAAAGGTCAAGACCCCCACCCCATGACGCCAGGTCCCGCTATAGGCCCGAAGCAGCAGCCAGAGGAAGGGGCGAGGGTGGCTGTCTCGGGAGGGTGAAGCGGGGCTGTGTGGTGGACCCCTCGGCTCTCCCCGCTCCCCAGCACTCACTGGCATGGACCTGCAGGCAGCACTTAGCACAGGAGATCAGCAGGCTGGTCCCGTCATCGCCGATGTAGGAATTGGCGGGGAGTGGCTCTGTGTTCTCCCCGCTGGAGGTGAAGCACATCTCGGGGATCAGCGGCCGTGTCTTCTGACCGCTTTTGGAAGGCGGTGTGGCCGAGGGGCCCTCCCCGAGGGAGGCCTGGGGAGTCTCCTTCTCGGTCTGTAGGGACTGCAGGAGGAGGGCCGCCATCAGTGGAGAGCCCAGCGTGGGGCGGGCAGGGACCCCTGACATCCTTGAGTCTATCCTCTGCCCCTCCGTCCCCAAGCAGCACACCCCAGGCTGCTCTTTGCCGCACTAGCACCCCTACCAGGACACCTGCAACTGCCCCACCATGGGTGTCCCTGACGTACCCTCCCAGCCCCCAACCCTGCTTCAGAAGCCCCCGAGAGATCCTCCCCAAAGGCAGTCAGACTCTGTCCCATCCACCCAGAAGCCCTCCCACTTAGGGTTACTTGCAGACAGCACAGACACTGCCCTGCTGCCCTCACCCCTCTCGCCCGCATCCCACTGCCCCTGGCTCGCTCTGCTCCGGCCACAAGGGCCCCCTCACGGTTCCTCCCAAACGCCAGGCGTGGTCCTGCCCTGGGGCCTTTGTATGTGCCGTTCCCACCGCCTGGGGCGCTCAGATCTCTGCTCACATAACCAGCGGGCCCCCAGGCCTTCCTTGCTCTGTCTGTCCTCGTGGTCCTGACCATCACCTGATGCCGTGTTATCTGTGTATCTATGTGGGGCGTTCTCCCCACCTGTGACTCACACGCGCCCCATGACGGCTGTACCCCAGTCCCCCCAAATCCAATCAGATGAAGAGACTGTGATGAAAACATCCTGCGCATGGCACCGGCATCCAGCAACACTGGGCCTGTCACAGGGTGGTGGGGCTCCCAGATGAGCCTCCCCAGCACCCAGTGACAGAAGGACTCTGACCGGCTCAGGGCATAAGGAAAGAGGCCACCAGAGACCACTGGCCTGATGCACTGTGTGTGTGTGGTGGTGGGGCCCTGGGGCGCCCCATGTGGCAACTTGGATTAGGGGACCGGCTGGTTTCCAAACAGGCAGAATGTCCAGCCACAGCCCTTCCCATGATATGGGACAAGCGAAGCCTGGTCCCCGACTCTGAGGGCTCCGGACTGCGGAAGCGGCAGCCCCGCAAGTCCCACTGACACCGTGGACGTGATTAAGCTGAGTCACAATGCTTCACTTAGCAACCGGGATTAAGGAGATTCGCCTCTTAAGCCAGTGTTCCCAGTGATGACTTCCAGCGGCGAGGGGCGTGCCTAGAGAAGACGTCTGTCTGGACGTTTCGTCTTACTTGTTTCCACAACCAGATGTTGGCTCACTTAGGGACCACAGGTCCTGGCAGCTCTGAGTGGCAGAGCCCTCGAGATGGGTGTGCTGCCCTCAGCACGGGGCACAGAGCTCGGCTAGCTCAGCTAATACGTGGAAGATGCCAGGCACTAGGCTGGAAGCCGGGGACCCCAAAACAAGTGAGACCCGGCCCTGTCCTCCAAGGGCTGATAAACAGAGGGCAGGAGCAAGAGCAGAGGCGGGTGGGGGAAGCTGGGGGGCATGCCAGAGTCAGCTTGGGATAGCAGGTCCAGGAAGGCTTCCTGGAAGAGGTGGCAGCTGGGTGGAATCAAAGAGTGAACAGAAATCCATCTGGCGAGGGAGAGGCCTGGGTGGGTGTGTGGGAGATGCTGGGGGACAGCACGGAGCATGCTGTGTGTGCGTGCGGGGGCAGATATCACAGGAGAGGATGGCTGTGGGGCATGTGCAGAGGCCGGGGGCCGTGGTGAGCCTGGCGGGCTTTCCAGCTGGGCCATGCGTGGCTGTGGTGAGGTGCTAACAGGAAGGGCAGGAGGCAGGCAGTGGTCAGGGCTGGGGGAGGGGGACATGGCAGGAAACCGGTTAAGGAGGAAACCGGGAGGACGTGGTGGTGGATGGTACAGGGCAGAGTGCGGGGAAAGGCCACGATCACAACTTGGAAACTCAGGACAGAGCTGGCGGCCGCGTGGCGCCAGGCCATGCGTGGGTCTTCGCCCAGCCCCAGCCCCCCACCGCCAGCCCCCGTTCACCACGCAGGCGCCTACCTGGACCCACCCCCGGGCCCCCTGCCTGCGCTGCCCCCTGGGCTGGGCTGAGGGCCTCTCAGAGGACAGCCATCTGAGATGATTCCTTGCACTCTCATCCTCTTTGAGGCACATTGATAAATTACCTTCCAATGAAACGCAGGCCCTGGGCTCTCTCCCCGCAGCCCTCACAGGGGCCTCCGTCGGGCTCTCCACCGAGCCCGCTGTGGCTCCAACAGCAAATGGGTCCTTGGCCCCCATCACCCTCCCTTCAGGGGGAAGGGACTCCCTTCAGGCAGAGCGAGCCCTGGCGCCACCGGGAGCAGGCGGATGCTGCCCGGCCCGGCATGGCCTGGGGGTCCCTCAGCACCGGCTCACCTGGCTGTACGGGTAGAAGAGGGTGCAGATGGCACAGTAGGGCTCCGTCAGGGCGGCCGCCGCGTTGAACTTCCTCTCAGCCTGGAAGCTGGCCGCCTTGTTCTTCCACTGCAGGGACAGCAAAGACCTCAAGGCCTCGGGGTCACCCACGTCCTCGTCCCCAGAGAAAGGGAAGGCTTCTGGAGTAAAGTGGGAGGGGGGAGGAGCTTCAGCACCCAGGGCCCCACCCCACCCAGTGCGCGCTCGAGGGGATGGGTCCCCGCTTCTCGGCCCCTGAGCCCCTCCGCAGGGAGGTGCCCTGGCCCCCCTCAGCTCAGGGCTGATCCCATCTGGGGACAGGAGATGGGATGGTCAGGCCTTGGCAGGTCAGGCACAGACTCCCCTGGGAGTCGGGCAGGGGCACTGCTGCCCCAATGTCCTGTAAGATGGAGGCCACTGACAGATGTCCCTCCCATCACCTGTCACCGGGCTGGCCTCCGCCGGCCTCGACTCCCAGCTCACTGTCTGCAATCCCCCACATCCCATTCCTGCACTTCCTGAGGACACAGGGGTGCCATCTGCCCTGGCATCAGCGTCAGCAGTCCCCAGGAACCTGCCCAAGGAGCAGGGTCCTCATCCCTGGGGCCCCAACCTTCCCAGCAGCTGGGCCAGCATGGCTGGTACCACAGCCGTCCCAGCTGTAAGGCCAGAGGCTGCCTCAATGCACGGGGACCCTGGGGCTGCATCTGATCTCCAGAGAGGCCCCTCCTGCTCCCAGAGCTCCAGCCCGAGACCCGCTTCTAGAACCCTCCGTGTCCTCGCCCTCAAATTAGGTTCAGAATCAAAGAAGCCACCCAGGCACTTTTCACACTCCGCGTGCGTCTTAAACGGAAGGCTGAAGCGGAAGATGATAAATGGGCTTAGCAGGATTTCTGCACGTAAGACAATCACTCCGACTTTCAGCCGAGTGTTAAATAGAAGCTTCTCCGTCTCTGCCCCTCCAGCTCCAGTGCCACCGCCTCTTATTCCAACTTCTCCCAGGCGCACGCTGGGTTCAGGCAGGCAGGGTCACTTCTGTTGGGACTGGCCGCTCCCCAGTCCGGCGCTGACTTTCCCTGAGGGCAGCTTGGCCTCAGGTCAGAGATCAGAGCCCGGAGCATCGTGAGTCACAGGTGTCTGCGGGGTGACGGCCAAGGGCGAGGTTTCCTCTGTTCTCGAAGCAGCTTCTCCCACTTCGGGGTCACGCGGCCCTGTCTCCGGTGCAGGGAGCGCAGGGCCAGGACGTCTCTGCTGGAAATGGACTTGGAAATGGGCCAGTTCCGGGCCCCATGCTGCTCCATGATCCTCTAACTCTGAATCCATTTCTCAAGTCTCTCCCTGGGGGATGTGGCCGGCACCTCTACCATCGTTCGTTGCTGCCCTCTGGAAACGCTCTGCGCCAGGCATCCAAACAGATCCCGAGGCTGTGAGAGGATGAGGTGTGGTCCTCGCTCACCTGGAGGGCCAGGAAGGGACACAAACGCACAAGGGCCACGGCAAGTGTGCTGGGGGTCGTGGGCAGGAGCCTCTGCTGACGGCATCTTCTCAGTTCTCACAGGATAAGGAGGGGGCAGAGGTTACCACGGAGACTGTGAAAGCATCGCACCAGGAGCTCTGGGTGACAACTGGCCTCGGCGTTCCCGGCATTCCCAGCACCCACCGTGTGCCTGGCACCAGGCCACACGCTTCACAGGCCTCAGCCCCGTGCACCTCCCTGGCAGGACCCCTTGAGGGGGGCCAGAAGACCCCATTTTACAGATGGGAAAACCGAGTCACAGAAAGGCAAATGGCACCACGGTCCCCGGCTCCGGGCAGTGGGCTGGGGTGTGAGCCCAGGTGGCTGCACCTGCCCCTCAGAGGCCCCACTCGACATCTGAGGCCCTGGGCCCAGGAGAGCAAGCGCCCCCGGGGAAATGGAGCAAACAAGGGCAGGGCAGAGGCCTGGGGGCAGCCGGGCCTGACTCGGGAGCTGTGGGCTGGGCAGGGGGCACCTCGGCCCCACAGCATTTGGGGAGGGTCTGAGGCTGTGCCGGGGAGGGGTCTGCAGGCCCGACCTCGGCTGGGGGTGGCGGGAGTGAGCAAGCCGGGCGGGTGGCAGCGGAAGGCAGGGCAGGGGCACAGCAGAGCCAGGGGCACCCTTGCTCACCCTCGTCACTTGAGGCCTCCTGCTTGACCACAGACAGCGGGGACCGGGTGGGTGGCCTGCCCAGAGGGTGGCGCCGGCTCTTCTTGATCTCCATCTTCAACTTGGAAAAGGTCGACGGAGCCTAAAATGGCACAGGAGGCCTCTGTGGGAGCAGCTCTGGGGCCGGAAGTAGAGGCGGTGGAGCCCAGCTCAGAGGGACCCCAGTGTCCTCAGTCAGGGGCAAAAGACCCCAGGAAGCGGGCAGCCAACACCCACGGTGGTTTCTTTTCTTTTCTTTTCTTTTTTAATATTCATTTGTTTATTTGGCTGTGCCGGGTCCTCGATGCGGCCCGTGGGATCTGGTTCCCTGACCAGGGATCAAACCCAGGCCCCCTGCCTTGGGAACGCAGTTTTAACCACTGGACCACCAGGGAAGTTCCCCCAACGGTGGTTTCTAAACCACGTACGTGCCGTTGGCCTCCGGGACAGGATCCACAGGGGCCGTTTGGACGAGCGGGGCTGTGGCCAGCACGTGGGGCAGGGGGACCCCCGGCCCCAGGGACCCACTGCCCCCTACCTGCACCTCGCCGGCTCCGCTCTCCTCCTCGGGGCCCGTCAGCTCCATGGGGGCCACCTGCTCCTTCCAGGTGGGGCCCTTCTGGGCAAAGTGCTCAGAGGCCTGCTGGCAGGACACGCGGCCCTTGTCGCCTGCCGCCGGGCCGGGCCGCGGCACCACGAACAGCATGGGGATGATGGGGCGCGGCTTCACCTCTGGCTCCTCGCTGGGTGCTTCGGGGGGCACCACGTTGAGAGGTGGTGGCGGGGGGTTCTCCTCGGCGGCCTCAGGGCCGGTGGCTGGTGCCGGGATCTCTAGCAGGGGCACCTCTTCGGTGGGGAACTGGGTGGGCGGGAGCGGCGGCAGCTGGGGCATGAGCGGGTGGTGGAGGTGCAGAGGGCCATAGCTCTTCTTCTTCCGGTCGCTCTTGGCCTTGGCTGGCCGCAGCTTGCCCCTCCCGTCCTCTGTGGGGACAGAAGAGAGATGAGTCAGAGGCGGGGGCCGGGGCACCCCAGGGGCCAGTGGCCAGGCACCCCCTTCGAGCCCCCCAGCCGGAGTGGGAGCCGGCTGCACTAGTTGAGGGCCCCTTCTGGCCCAGACAGGCCTTCCCCCAAGGAACCCGGGCTTCGGGCAGCTGTCACTGCTGCCAGGTCCCCCTGCCAGGCGGCCGAGCCCTGGAGCAGCAGCACCCTGGCCTCAAGAGTCCTGCCACAGGCTCAGAGCACCTTCTGGAATGAGCACGGGGCGCCGAGGCGAGCTGTCGGAAAGCAGCTGGGAAGAGACCGGCTCTGAACATCCTTTCTGAGGGGAGGGGGGAGGAGGTGGGATGCATTTTCTTTTCATGTGTCTGAGTTTCCTTTATTTCTACAGTAAACGCACACAGTTTGTGGAATTTTTAAAAAGCAAAACCTTAGACAACAAACCATAAACAAGTGGTTCTACTTGTGTGAAACAGAAGTGCCAGAGGGGCCTGCAGCGCCCGGAAGACGCGAGGGCCGGCGCTGTGGGGCTTCCTGACAGGTGACGGGGTGGGGAGGGAGGTGGACAGGGAGCGTCTTCAGCGGCATCTTAATTCAGGACCACAGCGGGCGTGCAGCTCGTCAAATAAACGGAGACGGGCGGTGTGGTTGGAGGGGTCATGGCCCCCAAAGACGCCCACACTGTAGCCCCGGGGCCTGTGCACGCGGAACCTGACGTGGCAGCAGGGATCTGCAGATGAGGTGGAGCTGAGGATCCCGAGGCGGACCCCACATACTAACAGGGATCCTTAAAAGCAGGGGATCCAGCTGGGGCCAGGGGAGCCGTGACTGCGGAAGAAGCCAGAGAGATGCGGCACTGCTGGCTGTGAGGATGGAGGACGGGGCCGAGAGCCAGGGATGCGGCACCTCTAGAAGCTGGAAAAGGCAGGGAATGACTCTCCCCTGGAGCCTCCAGAGGAGCCAGCCCTGCCCATGCCTGGATTTTAGTCCAGCGGGACCCATGTCGGACTCCTGACCCCTAGAAATGTCGGAGAATAAGACTTGCTTTCAGCCACTGGGTCTCTGTGGTCACATCACATAGCCACTGGGGATGCATGTGGGCGGGGGGCTCCACGAGGCCTGCTGTGCTCAGGGCGAGGTGTGCAGAGCCTCAGGGATGCCCGCCCACAAGGACCAGCGGCTCAGAGCACAGCCTTCGGGCCTTCCCTGCCCACCTGGAGAATGGGCACACGAGCTCAGGCCCTCACTGCCTGTCCCGGGTCCCCACAGGCTCAGGACGTCACATGAGGTGTGCCAGCAGCTGATACCCGGGGACGTACTGGTCATCCTACTGATGGTACCCGTGAACCGTTGGTTCCAATGCGTCACAGTCTGGGTCTCTGAGGGCCGGGAAAGGACAACTCGCAGAAAAGCAGTGGTCCCTCTCCCGGCTAAACCTGTTACCACGTGACACGTGACAGGGTCTGCTGGTCCCCGCGGCATCCACACTTACCTCTTACTATAAAAACCTGTCCGTGTTTCACCCCCGTCCCTCAGCCAAAGATAACGACACAGGTGGGATGATGCTCCCAAGGGCAAGGCCATCACTTAGTCCTTGACCGGCCCTGACCCAGGAAGGGGTCAAGCAAGCGCCCTCCCTCCCTTCCTCCAGGCAGATCCCTGGCCCTGAGCGCTAGGAGGGAGCCAACCCCCACCCGCGGCCCCCACTAGGCAAGCTGCAGAGGCTTGAGCCAGCCTGGCCTTCGTGGAGGGGCCCCTCTGGTCGCTGCAGCCCGCAGGGTCCTGAGCAGGCAGCCGAGCTTTTCAAGAGAGGCTCAGAGGAGGGAGCGCTTGCCAGCGCCCCCCATGCCCTCTGGCCCTGAGCCTTCCAAGGGCAAGGGTGCAGTCAGGATCCCTCCTGTGCCTTTGCCCACCTGGAGGAGCCCAGCACGCTCCCCAGGACCCCCCAACTGACAGCACCCCAGGAACAGTTATCCAGCCAAGGAAAGGAAATGGGCATTCCGCAGACAAAGCTGCTTCTCCTCTGCAGATGCTGGACTTGGATGGTCCTGGCCACTAAAGGTCACCTCCCTGTCCCAGGAGACGTGGGAGAGGGGGGATGGGGGGGCGCTGAAAGGTGGGGGGCGGGGAGAGGTGTGGGGTAAACACTGCTCATAAGGTTTGGTGACAGCAGCCCAGCCCCAGGAGGTGACCAAGGGCCCAGGAGATCAGGCTCTTTCCTGCCGCTTCTACTGATTTATAGAAATGGCGCTGAGGCAGCCCAGAGCCCCATTCTGACACGGCAGCAGGGACTTCCGGAGAAACGGCTTTGTTCTCTAAGGAAATCCACTATGCCCTCCTCCCTGACAGTGCGGCCACCCGAATGGAAGTCCAACGACGGCCTCCCGGGCCTCAGGACAGCAGAGCCTGCGAGCTGCCCCGGCTCCAGATGCTGCTGGGGAAGGACACGTCCCCGGCTCCTTCCTCACGGCCACTAGGCCCTGGGAAGCTGACGGGGGCGCACCCAGAGGACCCTGTTAGAGGACAAGCCCAAGGGCACTAGGGACGCTGCGGGGCCCGGGCCCCGTCTGTCCTCACGCCGTGGGGACCACCGCAGGCCTAGGGCAGGCAGGCCGCACTTGGAAAGCCCCTTGGTTGGCCCGCCTGAAGGAGCCTCGAAATGGAGCTGGAACGGTGGCTCGGACCCGAGCCGGGTCCCTCCCCAGCACACAGGGCCTCTCACCACCCCCGGTGTGCAAGGGGGCGCAGAATGGCAGGGAACCCCTCTGCCCCAGCAGGGTTGCTGAGGCCCGTCTGGCACTTGTTTTTCGCGGGGAGGCACAGCCAAGAATCCCCCGACTGCCGACGGATGTTACAGCCGCGCCAGCTTCCAGGGCCCCCATGCCTCCTCTCCCACCAAAGTTCTCCCAGGGGAGAGCAGGGGGCGCAGGGCTGCTGCCTGGCTTAGGGACCCTGCCCTGCCTGGCCCAGCCAGCCCGCATCCCTCCTGAGCGGAGCCCAGGCCAGGCCAGGGGACTGTGGCGTGAGTGTCAATGCCCCGCCCAGCCTGCTGCTCACCGCTGGGTGCAGCCGCCCCGGGGTCTTGTCCTAAAGCCGTCAAAAAAGGTGCGTGAGGGAGGGGGAAGTGACCCAGGGCGGCTGCACACCCATCCCCGGCCCTGCTCTGCCCTGCGGGGGACCACGTACTCTGGGACCAGCCCTCCTGGGGCCCTGCCGCTGCCCCTGCCACCCCCAGCTCCAGAGCTGCCAGAAGGGACAGTGGCCGTGCTTGGCCAGAGCTGGCCAGCGCCAGGCAGGAGGAGGGAGCCCTTGCGGTCCCAGCAAGCCAGGTGGACATGGGCTGCCTTCCCGCCAGGACCAGGGCTTGCTGTGCCGGAGGCTGCTGGTCCCATCCTGGGCCAGGCCACAGGGCAGCTGCTCTTGCAGACCCCCGGCAGTGGGAGCTGGTGGGACCTGGCAGCCAGGAGGGGAAGCAGCCCCCCTCCCCAGGCCAAGGGACCCGCAGCCAGCCGGGCCCCCTCCTGCCCCTGTAGGGTCCGGGCACCTCCATCCTGCCCGCCTCCGCCTACTCCAGTCAGGGAGCTTCCTACGTGAGCAGTGGCGGCAAGCACACGCCCTCCCCACGCAAACCTAAAACAAAATGTCCTGTCCTCGCGCCCGAACGCCCCTCACACTCACAGCGCTGAGGGGCAGGAAGCTGGCGTTAAAGGGAGTCTAGAAACCACTTTAACGTCTTCCACTCGTTCCCCAGACGTGTTTGCTGTCACCCCCGACTGTGAGCACTTATTTATTTGATGCATTCAGAGCGATCTTCCTCCAAGGGCTTGAGGGACAGCCCCCGACTGGGGCGTGTGGCTCCCCAGCTGTGGCAGCCTCCTTCTGTCCCCTGAAGGGACCCCTTCCCCTCTAGAGGGGCTGATGTTCCGGGAGATGTCCCAACACCCCCAACTCCTCCTCCTTGGGAACCAGGTTCTGGAGTGGAACAGGGACGGGGTGTCTGGAAAAGGGAAGCAGCCAGCCGTGAGCAGAGGTGCCTCCTTGGGAACGTCCCCGCTCTGCCTGGGGTCCACAGCCACGTGACACTGAGCCCACCACAGAGCACGGAGCCTGCAGGCATTTTGGAGAAGCCCTGGGGGTCCTGGGCTGAGGCCCTGGAAGGGGGACAGAGTGGCTGCAGATGCCAGGAAGGAGGGCACACATCCTGCAGGGTTTGGTCTACACCAGCATGTTTTACTCTCAGTGGACACAGAGACCACCCCCTACCCCGCCCCATTTAGGTAACAATCTGCTTAGAAAAGGGAAAACCGGAGAGGAACCGGGCCTTCGCCGTGCGTGAGCCTGAGGCCAGCTCTTGGGATCCCGAGACACCGAGGCACAGTGTCCCTGTGACGGGGCCGGGCCCAAGCAGGAGGTGACGGGGCATGGGGGTGCGGCTGTCTCTATAAACAGTCGATGGGTTTGGGCGAAGGTTCATTTTAACGCAACTCAATTAACGAAAAGAGAGCCATTATTCCTTTGCTAAGCAGTTGGGTAAACAGTGCGTCTACTCTTGCTGGCTGCCCTGCATCCGGCCTCAGGCCGGCAGCCCCTTGCACCTGCTCGAGAGGGAGGAGAGATGCCCATGGTCGCAAGGCATCCTTCCCACCCTTCCCAGGAGGGGTCCTGCTAAAACCCTCGTCTCTCGGGACTGTCTGAACTGGTCGGGCCCAGGAGCCCCCGCCCTGGCTGGCCCCCGACAGGCTGACTCCACTCCTGGGAAAAGCCGCTTCGGGCTGAAGCCAAGACCCTGGGGACAGGCGTCCTCCCACAGGCCCTGAGCCAAGACCCTGGGGACAGGCGTCCTCCCACAGGCCCTGAGCGGGGTGTGCGTCCTGTCTTTTTACCCTCCAACAACCCCACTGGCCTGCCGAGGCGGCGTCCAGGGCCCGGTCCCCAAATTTCAACCTGGACTCTTTATTTCCACCTGCTTTTTCTCCCACTTACCCCGCCCCCGTGAGAGCACCGATGCCCCCTGGCAACTTTACAAGGTGCCACCTGGGGCGTCCGGGTGCAGAGCCCAGCCTGCTCCTGCCCCGCCCCACGCAGCCCACCCTGGGGCAGGGCGGTCACCACCCCAGTCCTTACCAGTCACACCAGGGACACCTGCCGAGTCTCCCAACCTCTTGGGCCAGAACCCCAACCTAGCCATGTCAACAACCACTGTCCTAACCTCCCTACAGCTCACCTCCACGGCCTCTGGAGTCAGATGCAAACGCCTCACCTGTTGATGGGACTCGGGGCCCTGGATCCCGGAGCCCACAGCAGAGGGTCCATCATTCATTCACCCACCGCAGCCCATGCTCTGACTCGCCCCATGGAACTGGGGCCCGGAGCACTCACGACACAGGCACGGAGCCGGAAGGAGCGCGTGCCCCTCCCAGCTGCAGACCACCCGCTCCGAGGGGGCCCCTCTTGGTTTGGCACGTTTACTCTGTTACAGGCTAAACTGTGTCCCCCAGATTCCTGTGTGGAAGTCCTAACCCCGGGGCCTCAGAATGCAGCCACATTTGGAAACAGTCATTGCTAATGTCATGAGTTAATAAGATGAGGTCATTAGGGTGGGCCCTCATCCAATGTGACCGGTGTCCTTCTGAAAGGCAAAATGCAGACAGACTGGCACACAGGGAGAGGCCGTGTGAGCGTGAAGGTGGCCGTCTACGAGCCAAGGAGAGAAGCCTGGCACAGACCCTCCCTCGCGGTCTCAGAAGGAACCAGCCTTGCCCACACCCTGACCTCGGACTTCCGGCCTCCAGACCGAGAGACAATGAACCTCGGTTCCTGAAGCCCTGTGTCGGGTACTTTGTCGCACGGCAGCCCCAGCAGATTCGGATGCTTCCCTAAACAGTCCAGTGTCTGCCTGGCGTGTTTTCTGAACTTTAAGTAAACGGGACATGGGGCGTGGGTGCCCGTGTGACATTTGGGGCTGCATGTGAGGGTCGCCCCGGGGAAGAGCAGTGGCCTTCACTGCAGCCCCGGACAGTATCCTTGCTCCTGCCTGCAAGCTGGCCGGTCACGTAGCCCTGACCTCTCCTGACCCCTCTTCCTCGGGCCTTGCTCCCTCCGGCTGCATCGAAATCAACATCCCCCAAGGCCGCTGGCCAGCACCTTTGCAGGGAGCCCCCCTAACACATGCAGCCCCGTATATGTTACAGCTCCTCCTTGTCTTTCAAAAACGTCTCTTAATTTTCTCCATAAAGGTCTTTTATCTTCTGTTAGATCTGCTCCAGCCTGCATCACCCTCTGGATGCTCTCATTATAGGTAGGATTTTCTTCAAAACCATGTGTTCTGTGAACACCCACATGTGACAAGTGTGGGGCGGCTCTGTGTGTCCAGCCCGTTTCTGGCAACTCCGCTAGCTCCCTGCGTCACCAGGCCTCAGCCTCTGGGTCCATTTCCACGGGATGATTGTGCCTGCGCACAGACTGTGCCGACGCACACCCCCTCCCCGCCCCCCGCCGCCTGTGTCTTGCCTCCCCGGACTGTCCAGACCCTCCCGTGTGGACCGGGCTGTTTCGTGATGCCCACCAGGCAAGTGTCATGCCAGGCTGTCTGGGACAGGCCAGCACGCAATTTACCCAGGAAACTTTCCAGTCTTCCCTGCCTCCAGCTCCTGGGGCCCCGCAGGGACACCCCCCCCTTCCAGCCCGTGGGAACATCAGGGGCATGCGCCTGCCCCTCTCGGTGCCTGGTGGAATGCCACATCATCTGGGACACCAGCCACGAGCACCCCGGGGAGGGCCTGACCCCAAGCCAGGCAGAGCTGTGCCGGCTCACCTGCTCCAAGACACAGTCCCGAAGAGGAACCCTCCAGCGACCTATGGCCTGTGATGGGGGCCCGAGGCACTGCTGCCTGGCAATCTGCCACCAGCCCCCCAGCCCCGCCCGGCCCCTCCTTTACACCTGGGGGGGCAGCTGCTAGGTGCCAACGTGTGAGCAGCTGAAGCTGCAAATTAGGAAAGTGAAACCAGCCGTGGAAAAGAAAAAGGAGCACCATAAAACATGGGAGTGGGGAACGTTCAAACGCTCACGGAGTCATGTTCCGCGACTAACGGGCCCCAGGCAGTGTAAAGGGTACGGTTCTGAGACACACCCACCATGGTGCCCAGATACAGTTTTTTTGTTCAACGCCAGCCTGCAGGTGGGGCATCCCCACCGCAGGCACGTCCAGCATCTGGCTGCAAACAGCAGGCCATCCCCTTTCCCAACTGAGCAGAGAACACCTCTGTTACGGACTGTGTCTGTGTGCCCCCAGGTTCATGCTGAACCCTGCCCCGCAGTGGGCTGGTTGGGAGGTGACTGGGTCATGAGGGTGGGGCCCTGGCTAAGGATCAGTGACCTTAGAGGCCAGAGGGCTCACTGGCTCTCTCTTCCCCCTGAGGACATAGTGACAGAGGGTCACATACAAACCGGGAGGTGGGCCCTCGCCAGCACCAGGGCACACCAGCACCCTGATCTCCCAGCCTCCAGCACCGAGGAATAAAGCCCGTTGTTTCAAGCTGCCCACCTGTGGATTCTGTTTCAGCAGCTGGATGGACTTCAGTTTCTGGGAGAAGAGGGACTTCTCACAGCACTCCCAGAATGCACATTTTTAGAAAACGCCCTCCCTGCCCACAAGACACATGGATGGGATTCTGAAGGCGCAGGGCCTGGCCAGCACAGGCACCGAGCAGGACTGACCTTCGGAGCCCTCGGCCTCCCGGCCCTGCGGCAGCGGCTGGGATTCCTCCTCCTCCTCCTCGGGGTCGGCCTCTGGTGTGGCCTCCTCCTTCATGCCGCCACCAGCCTCCTCCAGGAGGGCCGTCCCAGCTGCCCCCTCGCCAGGAGACTTGGGGTCGTCCGGCTTGGGCTTCTTGGGCTGGCTCCGCTTCCGGTGAGACCTGGAGAGGGAGGCTCATCAGACGGGAGGCGAAACAACGGAAGGGAGAAGCCCTGGGCTGTGCGCCCTGTCCAGCAGACAGAGCCCCCCAGGAGGCCCGGGGAAGCGGGGGCCCTGGGTGGGGTTGGCTCCTGGGGGCAGGGGCGTTGGAGGGAGAGAGGCCTGGGGGAGGGGAGGGGATGGCAAGGTGGGTGTCAAGCGCGTGCCGATGGCAGCTGGAGATGGGATGGCGGGACAGACGGGCTCCAGGAGCCTCTGTGTGGTGGGGCGGGAGACACGGGGAGCGTGGGCTCAGATGGAAACAGAAGCTCGTGGAAAATGCCTGCGCGACAGACAAAAGGTGCACTTACGACAGCCCCGGCCTCCTGGTCTGCTCTTTCTTCCTCTCTAGACTTGGTTTCCTCTCCTCCTCAGTCTTTTTCCAGTGTCTGTTTTCTTTCAGACTAATTTGTCTAGAACGTAAATGTCAGGGGGTTTTTCTCTAGGACTTGTGTTAACTCCCTAGACGCTTCGCCGCAGGGCCTCGCGGGGCCCCGGGCTCTCCCTGCATCCTCTCCACCTGCAGGAGCTCCGAGCCCAGAGCCCGCGGTGGCCCCTTCTCTAAGCTGCGCCCCGGCCCCCCTCACCTCCTGCCCACGCCGGCCTCAGGGGCTGCGACAGTCCCCGGACGGGATGGAGGGCGGTCCTCAGGCCCCAAGTGAGAATCCCAGCTGAGGCTGAGCTGTGGCTTCTTAGTGAAAATGAGGGGGAATTGGGATTAAAAAGGAAGAAAGGAAAGCGACAAAGGGAGGGGGGCTGCAGGTTAGTGGCCAGGGCACCCCTGCCGGGTCCTGGTGGGACGTCCTTGCCGGTTCCTGGAAACTTTCCAGGGAGGGGGCAGTGCAGCTTTGAGACCTCAGGAGGTGTGTGACTGGCCCGGGAGCTGATGCAGGGGCCAGGGCGGTGGAGCGGCTCAGCCTTGGGCAGGGGACACCAGGACAGCCACAGGCTCCGGGTCTCACAGCCGAGGGGTTGTTTTGGAGAGAGCTGTTGGCGCTGGCCGTGGCTTCCCTCCCCCAGGGAGCTCTCCATGTGGCCCCAGTGGGGTCAGACACCAAGACCTTATAGGAGACCCTACAGGGTCCCTGGCAGCCGCACCTCCAAGGACCAAGTGCTCACCAAGGGGAAGCAGGGCTGTCTGACTGGGGACGGGTGGGCAGGGAGGCCCCAAGGGCTCCAGATGCCAGGACCCGCATCTCCTCCCAGGGGCGTCTGCAGCAGGACGCTGGGGGCTCACGGCTTCCTTGCTGCCTCCCGGCCCGACACTGCTGGCCCCTGGGGTGCCTCCTTCTAACTGTCCCCTGACGCTAACCGCTAACCACTGCCGGTCCCTTGCTGCTCAGCTGCCTAACTTGAGGGCCCCTGGCTCTGTGCCCTGAGCCCAGGCAATGCCCGGCACACGACAAGCCCTACTTGATGTCTGCAGCATGAACCACCCTGATGACCAAAGGTGGAAAGCAGGGAGCATTCCAGGGAGGGCGCGTCATGGGCAGAGGCATGGCATCACACACAGCATGGCGTGCAAGGGCGCACTGCGAGGGGGAGGGGTGCAGGAGGACAGGCGGGCGGGGACAGGGCGGGGGAGTCGGCAACAGATGGGGGCGGGAGGGGGCACGAAAGACTCAGGCCTCCCCTGGTACACTCTCCACACCGAGCGAGTTTGGGAAATGCCAGGTGCAGCCCCGACGCGGACACAGGCGGGAAGCTCCGGGCTTTTCCCCAGCTGTCATCGGGAGGCTTCTCTCGGGGTCTGGGAATGCTGCAGGGCCAGGTGCCCACAAGCGAACCCCCACGCTGGCCCCAGCACCCAGCAGAGGGGCACCCTCCTACCGTCAACTCACCTGGCCTCGGTTTCCGGCAGCTGCCCCACTCCTCACCCCCTCTCCGGCCCTCCCCCACCCCCACCAACCCGGAACTGGCCCAGAGGCCACTTCTGCCCCTGCCCGCCTCAGGGTCCCCAGAGAGCCCAGGCCTTCCTCGGCCCCCGACACACCAGTGGGCTCAGAGCTCTGCCCCCAGCACCATACCCCCAGCAACCACTGGGCCGCACCAACGCAGGGACCCCCCCCAACCCCCCGAACGGGTGGAACTAGGTGCAGAGACGTAGGCGAAGGGACAGGCCCTACTGCAGAGGGGAAAGTGAGGTGAACGTCGGCATGCAAAGGAGGATCTGTTCTGTGAGAACATAAGCTGGGAAATAACACCGGGGGAACCTGGGGTTGACTTGCTGACAGCTGTGGGGAGCTGTGCGCACACCCTAATCGCAGTCTGGCCGTACAGCATCCTCTGGGCCCACTCCCCAGATGCGACGCCTTCCCCTCTTTTAGCCATTTCTTCTTGTATTGACTTGCATGTGTCTCCTCACGCTGCTGCTGTTTTTTGGTTCTGGCTTCTCTGCTGAGTTGCCAGCACAGACACTTAGGCTGTGGCCATCCTGCCCACCTCAACCCCTCCTGGCTTCTCTCCCATTTTGGTTGTGGTGAGATTCTATATTACATTTTTCTGATCCTGTAAATATAGTTCATCCGTGAGCAACAGAGCTGCTCGCACTGCATTCTTTGCTCACTCCTTCTGGAGTCAGTAACTGGCCCCCTCTCTTAGACGCTTAGCTTTCCTGGTTTTCTCCAAGATCTTGGTGTGGCCTCCTAGGCAGGGGTCACATGCTCCTCAATGACACCCTGAGGCCCTCCTCTTATCTTGAGACTGCCTTGGACACTCCTGAGTTGGATCTGGTTTCCTTGATCCCATGTCTTCCTTGGTTGATGCCCTTGTTTAGCTGGAGCACATCCTCCAGCAGCTTTCTCAGAAAGGAGGGGGAACCTGGGACTTTGCTTGTCTCAAAAGATCTTTATTCTCTTCCCATACGAAGTTGGTAATTTGGCTGGGTATTCCTGGGCTGAAATGATTGCTCTCCTGACCTTTAAGACCCTTGTCCTTTGTCTATTAGCTTGTAGCATCATGATCGCCAAGTCCAGTGCTGCTTGGGCCCCGTTGACCTGTTTGTTTGTTCCAGAGGCTTTGCAATCTTCTGTTTAACCTGAGTTGTGAAAAGTCTGCATTCTAGATTTCCTCAAGCTGGCTCCCAACCCACCTCGGACATTTCTTTGCTCTTTTAAAGTTTTTTTTTTAGTTTCGTTGGGTCTTCATTGCTGTGCATGGGCTCCCTCTAGCTGCAGTGAGTGGGGGCCACTCCTCACCACGGTGCGCGGGCCTCTCACCGCAGCGGCCCCCCCTCGTTGTGGAGCACAGGCTCCAGGCGTGTGGACCTCAGCAGTTGTGGCTTGCAGGCTCCAGGGCACAGGCTCAGTAGTTGTGGCGCACAACAAGGCACAGCCTCAACAGTTGTGGCTCAGCTGTTCCGTGGCACGTGGGATCCTCCCGAACCAGGGAACGAACCCGTGCCCCCTGCATTGGCAGGCAGACTCCCAACCACTGCGCCACCAGGGAAGTCCTTTGCTCCCTTTTAAATGTCCAAGAGCCATCTCTTTCCTAAAAGCCTTTTTGTTTATACAGCAGGTTCTTCCATAAATGCCAAGTCACCTGCCCTCTCGCAGAAGTTAGTTTTCTTCTGCTCACTGCATGGCCTCTCCTGTGGGGTCCCGCTTTTTTTTGTTTGAGACTCTTTCACACTGAGTTTCTTCAGGGGTTTAGGGACCCCTGGCTATGACGTACAAGGGACTAAGATGTTCGCTGGTAGCTGTGTGTGAGCAGGGCTCCTAGAAGAGGAGCGGGCAGGTGGGAGCCCTGTCACTTCACGGGGGACCCCCAATATCACATGTGTGGCTTTGTTCCGTTGGGCCACTCTGACCCGGCCCTGCGGTTGGGGATATGTGAGGCTGGCACGTCTGATCTCCCCAGCAGTAGGGCCAGCGCCTTCTGCTGGGGGATGGGGTGGAGGAGGAGGCCCTGAGCTCAGCGATGCCTCCAGCACACCGCGGTCCCCGCCCCAGCAGGCGCCCGTGCCTGAGTCCCAGGCCTTGTGGCCTGAACCAGCCCACTCCCCGTCCACAGGTCCACGGACTCGAGTTTTCTCTGTGCTGCAAAGTCAGGTGTCACTTGCCCCTCTTTTCCTTCCTTCAGAGTCTGCCGATGCTGCTCGTACCCTCTCCTCTTCCCTGTCCCTCCTTTACAGTCGTTTTCATGGTGTTTCAGAGGAGGGTGGACATAAACGTGCACTTTACTTGCCAGGCTTAACGGGATGTCACTTGGCGAAGATGATAAGAATTAGGTATTGGTACTGAGTCCAAATCCCTACACTGATATTTCCAAGATGGGAGCAGGTGTCCTTGGACCTCAGGTGGCAGGAGAGGCAGAGTGAGGGGGCTCACTGAGGGGCCCAGGGCACACAGCCCCTTGGGCATCCCAAGGTGGGGCTGTTGCCCAGAACTTCTGACTCCCCGGGGAGGGATCTGGGGCTTCCTGGCCAGGAGTCGCAGCCCCTTCCTCCAGTGTTCCCTGACCCACGGCGAGTAGGTGTGGCCTTCAGTGGGTTTTCTGGTGAAGTCACAGGGACAACAAGCTCCTGGGGCCGCAGGGGCTGGCAGGCCCCATAGTCATGGCCCCTTCTGAGCGGACAGGAGCTGCACCGGAGGAAAGGGCTCAGGAGCGTGGCAGGGTCAGGGTGGCTGGAAGGAGTGGGTCGGAGGTGCAGTCGTGTACAGCCTGGCCAGGGCATCAGGTACAGGGGGAGAGGCGAGACCAAACTGGCTCCTGGTGGGTCTGGGGGCAGCAGAGGGGGCAGGGATGTGCTCCCTGGCTCCTTGTTTCCATGGTGACCGAGGATGGGAGGTGGAGAGGTGGTGGGCGGGAGCTGCTGGGCTGGGCGAGCAGGGCTAGCGGGCTCTAGCCTCCTGCGTGGGCAGCTGGAGGTCCCGCCAGGGGGAGCAGCAGAAGCTGGGGAGGAACGGGGCCCCGTGGGTCCGGAGAGGAGCACACTTCCCCTCCCCCACTTCCCTCCAAGCCCGGCTGCTCAGATGCTCTGCACAGAGTGCGTGTGAGTGTCCAGCAGAGCGCACACCTGCTGGAACATGTGGGCAACGCGGAGCATTCCTTGAAGCTCTCCTTGAAAATAATCAGGAGCCGAGAAGAAAACGCAGCCTGCATATGGAGGAAGGCTGCTCAGGCAGGCAGGCAGGAGCGGGGGAGGGGAGCAAGGCGAAGACGCCAGCTGGGCAGGGGTCCCACCTGGCGGCGATGGCGAGGGGGCCACGCAGCACGGACAAGAAGGTCACAGGTGGTGGGGCCAGTTCACCTGACAAGATCTAGGCGTGGAAGGAAAATCCACGGGAGGGCATCCTTTTCTCCCAAAGGAGCCAACACCTGCCTCTGCTCTCAGGTGACATCTGGGGCGGGGTGCAGGGGGCCATCAGGAAGGCTGGGCCCTCGAGGGGCGGGGGCCTGGCTGAGCCTGTCTGATTGAGGACCAAGGAACGGATGCAGCATCCCAGAGGAGAAGGCAAGGCTGCACAGGGATGGGGGCGCGGGAGGGTGCCCACAGCAGGCGGACGAGGAGCCCACCCCAATGCCAAGCCCTTGGGGAGGGACACTGGGAGATGTCTGGGGACATCTGTGGTGGTCTCACTGGAGGGCTGCTCCTGGCATCAAGTGGGCGGGGGTGGGGAAGCTGCTCAACCCCCCACAGTGCCTGGGACAGCCGCCCACAGAAGATGTCAGCAGTGCCGAGGGGAGACCCTGGTCTAGGGACAGAGCCAGATTTGCCCCCATCCCCTATCCGGCAGGAGTCAAGGATGCTAGGGTGGTGCTGCCCCTCCCCCCAAACCAACTCTCCGACAAGGGAGGCTCGGGGGAGCCGGCAGCCCTGGAGACAAGGCACAGCTGGGCGAGGACAGGTTGGCCAAGTGGCCAGGAGAGAAAGTCACCAGGGACTCCTGAGGACCACTGCCACTGGGGGTAGGGCGGGGGCAGCGGCTTCCAGCTTGGCATTGGGCCTCCAAATGTGAGTCCCCAGTCAGCCTCTTAGGAGGAAGCCCCCCCAACCAGTGACTTTTTAAAAAGGTGGGGGAGTCAGCCTTCTTTTACATACTAAAGGCTTTAAAGAAAATTGCATCCTTGGGAACACGACTGAATTTGTTATTCAGTCCCAGGTCTGCACACAGGGAGGGGAGGTGGGAGAGAGGGACGTTCCAGAAAGGAGGTGTGCTGTGCAACATGATGAGGGGACAGGGAGGGGGTAAGGGGCTCTTTGTGTACAGAAGGTTCCGGCCAAGGCCCGGCGGCCGGGTCCCCGTCCTCTGGGCAGGCTCGTCTGACAGCCTCTAATCCCATTCCATCCTGGAATGATGCCCCAGTCCTTGGCTGTCACTCTGTTGACCAATTAGTCTGAGCCATCACCAGTCAACCATTATGCAAATGCAGGATCACTCTGCTCCCTCCCTCGGGAAAGACGGGGAAAGAGCGGGAGCTGCAGCAGATCAGCCTCACCGAGAAGGTGCTTTTCGTGAGGAACACACAGGAGGGCAGAAAGTCAAAAGGAGAGACAACAAAAGAAATCGGAAAAGAGAGACACCTTCAAGCGGGCTGCCAGGAGCAGATGGGAAAGCACCCTGGAGCTGAGAGAACATTCTCAGAGAGGGGCCTCGGGTGGGGAAAACACACGGATGAAGGTGCGCAGAGAGGAGAACAGGCCCAGCGGGGAGAAGGTTCTGGGCTGGGAGTGACCGCTTGGCCAGGATGATTTCTCCCAGTTTCTGCAGAGCGCTGGGGTGCCACCAAGGATGCACTGCCCAAGGAACACACTGGCCAAGGCCCCACCCCTCAGGGACCAGGTCCTGGGGGAGGCGCCATCCTTGATCAATGGGGACAAGACCTGCCAGCAGTGACCAAGGGCTACAGATGGAAACCTCGCCCGAGGCCCAGATCCGACTGCAGCCTGTTTGTGCCGCCCACAAGCTAAGCATGATGTTTACGTTTTTAAATGGTTCAAAAGTTAAAAGAGGGCTTCCCTGGTGGCGCAGTGGTTGAGAGTCCGCCTGCCGATGCAGGGGACACGGGTTCGTGCCCTGGTCCGGGAAGATCCCACATGCCGCGGAGCGGCTGGGCCCGTGAGCCACGGCCACTGAGCCTGCGCGTCCGGAGCCTGTGCTCCGCAACGGGAGAGGCCACAACAGTGAGAGGCCCGTGTACCGCAAAAAAAAAAAAAAAAGGTGAAAGAATAATAACACTTTGTGGCATGTGAAAATGATATGAAATTCCCACTCCAGTGTCCATAGATAAAGTTTTATTGAGACTCGCCACGCTCATTGTTTACGGAATGTCTTACAGTCCAGGGCAACCGCCGTGGAGCCAAGTGGTCAAGGGAGAGCCTCCTGAGCCCTTGAAGCCCTAACACCAACACGAGGATGCTCTGGGCCGCCCCGCCCACTCCAGCCATACCCCAGGCCCAGCGAGGACCTGCCGACCGTTCCTTGGGCACCAAGAAGGAATCTGTTTGAAACCTGTCCACAGACAGCTCAGGCCCTGAGAGCCTGGACGTTTCCCAGAGAAAGAGCATGATGGAGTCGGACGCTTCCGAGGCCGCACGGCACTGCCCCTCACTCCCCAGCTCCGCCACCCACATCCCTGTGGCCTCGGCGCAGATGCCAAGAGGGGCAGCCACTCTGCCCTCTCCTTCCCCGCCGGACACCAGGCAGCGGCCGGGCAGGGACCACGCTGGGTGGAAGGTGGGCCGGGAGGGGGGCCTCTGAGATGGAAAGAGGTGGCAGAGGGCGTCCGGGGGACAGGTCTCTGTAGTCACCTCCGCGTCCGCGGATTCAAGCAACACGTTATCCGAGGCACCAGAACAAGCATCTACAGATGCAAAGGGGCAGGGGCGCGGCTCTCATGGAGGGAGCTCGGTGCCTGTGCCCCACAGCTCCTGCCATAGCTCAGAGTCAAGAAGGGCCACGCGGCCCCGACGCAGAAACGGGGCTCTCGCACCGGGGATGGCGCGATAGTGAGCCGGAAGCCTGAGAGGGACAGTGTGTGGGGTCCTGAGAGGGCAAAAAGGGCCCACCTCCCAGGAGCTGGTAGACAAGGAGTGGGTGGGAGCCTGAGTCCCCTGACAACACAGGCAGCGACGGCGGTGAGTCCCCAACAGCCCGCGGAGGAAGTTAGACCTGAGAAACACTCTGCCTCTGAAAGAGGGAGAAGTGGAGGAGGGAGGGGAGGGGGGAGAGAGGAGAGGAGAGAGGTGGGCGACAGCCTGCAGCCCCACCAGCGGGGAGCCGTGGGCTGGGCTCGCTGGGTGGCTCACCTGCGCAGGAGCTTGGCCTTGAGCGAGGCCCGGGAGGCGCTCCAGGTGCTCAGCTCGGGGCTGCTCAGGGCCGTGGGCCGTGTGTGGTCCAGCACCGTGAGGTCCTTGCCCTGCTTCCACAGCTCGTAGCGCTCCGGCTGCAGGATGCGCACAAAGACGTCCATGGAGATCTTGACCATGTCCTTCCGGCATGTGCACTGCATGTGGGCAGGAGAGAGACCACTGAGCCCGCGGGCCAGTCACCCCACACCGCGCAGGGCGCCTCGAGCCTACCCCATCCTCCCTAGAAATTCTCTCACGAGACAGGAAAGGGGGTCTTCTCACCCCGATGCGGGGGAAGGTGAGGCTGCTGCATCCCCGCAGTGGGAGCCTCTGGCCTTCCCCACGGAGTCGCAGCCCCCCACCTGACCGTGGTCCACCACGGTGCCCCCAGCCGCTCAGGAGCCGAGGCCACATGCTCTGAGCTTCGGCCGCCTCCAGTCAGTTCAAACCAAAATCTGCCTCCTGTCAGACATGCGTACCCCCGACCAGGTAAAATGCGCATGGAATGTCTTATAACAGCGGTAATTCCAAAGGTTAGTTAGGAAGAGAGAAAAAGCTGTCAGCCCCCAAAGAGCAAACAAGGAAACAAATGTGATCTGGAGAAGGTGCTCCCCCACCCCCGTGTGCCTGCCTTGGGCTTCGGGAGAGGAGGCTGGGGACCCAGGAGACTCAGCACCTGGCCCCAGGGCGCCCGGAACTCGCCTCAAGCCAATGCTGGCCTGGCTAGTAGAGCCCCTTGTGCCTGGGAGCTTCAAGCGTGGGACAAACAAGCATAACGAGGACGGGCTGAAATGGGTCCTTCCTCCCCCTCCTCTGCTGTCTAGACCCTGAAGACGTCTCCACATGCAAACCCCGCGTTCCGGGAGCCTGTCCCTCTATGCCACAGGGTCACCGTGGCCCCCAGGACTGGGTCCCGTGCAGGAGGCACTGCAGCCATCCCAGAGGAGTTGGGAGCCAGAGAAGCCAGGCAAGGATTGCAGAAGCCAGGCTCGGGACGGCGAGCCCTCGGTCAAGGGGAGGAAATCAGACAGCCCTGGTGTCCTAGTTACCTGCGGGCTCAGGCCAAGAGCGAGAGGAAGGAGAGACTGAGGGGACCACTGGTCTAGGGCAGGGCTGGCGAGCTGCCCACAAAGAACCAAGCAGTATAGATGCTTCCAGGTGTGCGGGTCACTGATCTCTGTTAACAATCTCTCAGCTCTGTCGTCACTTGGGAGCAGCAAGACCGACTCGTAAACAAATGGGTGTAGACGAGTGCAGATAAAACTTTATTTACAAAAAAGGCAGAGGGCCGGATGCGGCACAGGCCGAGGTTTGCCAGCTCTTGGTCTAGACTCTAGAGGACAAAGCATCACCTGGCGGTGGGCAGCCACCTTCTGAGAGATGAGCTTCCCCAGGGATGGCTCCACGAGGGACCTCGGGGTGGACCTGACCCTGGGGGCCGAGCTCGCCTCCCTCTGAAGGGGCACTGTCCTTGCCTCCTTAGGGGGACGAACCTGTCCTGAGCATCGCGACAGGAGGCCGAGGGGCAGTCGCCCCTCAGGGACACCCGCACTGCAGCCCCTGCAGCTCTGACTCTAAACACCCCCGTGTCAGATAAACAGGCTTATCCCTTTTTAAGCCGTTCCCCAAACCACAGCTTAAAAAGCGTCTCCGGATTTTTTTTTTCCAGGCTGCGTGTGTGTGTGTGTGTGTGTGTGTGCGCGCGTGTGTGCGTGTGTACGCGCGTGTATGTATTTAGAATTGCGTATGTGTTCATTTTTCATCCCATGCAATTTCAAAGGACATTATGAACGTGTCTCCGTTTTAAATGCACATCTTGCCTCTGTTTACAACCACCCGTCACTGCCACTTTCTCAAAGGAAATGAAGGAAGCGGAAGGAAAAGACTTAATCGAATGCAGCGATTATGTATCTTGCCCCGAAGAGCCCCTCCCGACTTCCCTCAATTGGCTCAGAAACAGCGAGATATTTATGACCCGGAGCCTGAGGCTGCTGGGGGCGGGTCCGTGTCTCCTGCAGCCCCAGTGCCCCCATCCTGCCTGCTCCCAGGCCGCATCCGGGAGCTCTGCCTGGGGACAGCAGTAGCCTGACCACACCAAGTGGGAGGGAATATTTATGACCCAGCGACTCCCCGCAAACTCAATTCAGTTAATGAGAAACCTCGCAGCAGAGAAAGGCTGGCGGTGTAATTTGGCTGTGGAGTGGCGAGAGCACAGATGGCGCCCGGGTTCCAGATTCCTGGCTGGCCACCACAGCAGCTTAAGGGATTTGTATCAAGCGGCCTTGCAATTGCTTTTCCTTAAGTAATTAAAAAAAGCACCTGTGTGCGCCGTGGAGGGGATGGAGGGGACCCGGAGCACATTGCCTGTGTCCTGGAGCCCGGCCTGTACCCGGGCTGGGAGCAGGGCTGGGAACACTCACCCTCACGTCTCTGTGGGGTTCTGGCTGCGGTGGGGTTTGTCGCTGGTGCGGACCAAGGTGTGGGGGGCATGGGCACCAGGGAGGAAACGGTGGGAAGAAGCCAAGGCCCCTTGGGTCGTGGGGGACAGGAGGGACAGCCCCCGGTGCAGGACACAGCAACAGTCACCTTCGTGGGCTAAGCCGCTGAGCACCACAGACCCATTGCCTTGTTTCAGCTCACAGTTTGGCAAAAGAATTTGCTAAGACCAGCGAAAAGATCCGGCTACTTAAAAGCAACTTCCAGGGGCTGAGCGCGCCAGCCCCCCGCCACGGACCCTGTACCACTGTCTTCTGATTTTGTGGCCCCTGCCCAGCAGAACTGCCCCCGCCGCTGTTTCACTTCAGGCCTGCGAGTAAGCACAGGTGCTCTGAGCTGCAGGGCCGTCCTGGAAATGTGGCTCAGGGAGGGCAGGAGGCTGGAGGCTTGGGGCACAACCCTCGGGGCAGCGCCCAGGGAGGGACTGCGTCCTCCCCTCCAGCCCGGCGGGCTCCCAGACCTTCCTGAGGACCTGCTGGAGTCACTGCTGGAGTCACTGCGGCTGAGTGTCTGCTGCTTGCTCTCCAGCTCCTGAGCTCAGCAGCCCCACCAGCTGGAGACCAGCCGGAGTGTGCTCTCCCTGGGACCTGGCCTGGCCATTAGTTCTGATGGGGAAACCGGGTTCGAAGGGGAGGGAGGAGGCCTGAGGGCCCCCTGCAGCCTGAGCGCACCCCGGGGCCCTCTGTACCTTCAAGACTCAGCCAGCAGAATCGCGTGGGGCAGGGCTCCCGCTCCACGAGCAACTAGGTAATGAGGACGCTGAGCATCCTGTTCAGATCAGCCAAGGCGGGGTGGCTGGTGATCCCATTAGTGCCGAGGGGCCATCTGGGGACAGAAGGAGTAAAGGAAGAGGAGGGGGACTGTGGCGGGGGCGGGGGGGACATGCGCTGCGCATGGCCTGGGACCCAGCACCAGCCTCTGTGGATGCGAGACAGGCTGTGCTCTCTGTGGGACCCCACCCTGGGCCTGCCTGCCTGGCTGGGGGTCGAGCTCCAGCCCCCATTGGCTCAGCCCCACCCCCAGATTCTGGGCCTGGAACGGTGGTCTCCCCAGGTGATGCGAGCAGAGGGAGGTGGCGCCCCGACACTCAGAGCAGAACTGGCTCTCTGATGCAGCCGCTCATCAAGGGGGACCTGACAGCCCCAAAAAGTGCACCTCAAAGAGCCCCTGACGGGCCCCCCGTGGAGCTGCTGGCGCCAAGTTAATTAACACGGGAGGAACGAGCTGTTCAAAGTGACAGTGGAGAGGAGACACGAGCTCCGCCCCCGCACCCCCCACAAGAGGAGGGGGGACAGGATGCCCCCCAGAAGCAGACACCAGCTGCCTGCCGAGCAAAAGGCTGGCAAGCAGGGCAAGGGCGTAGCCCTGACAAGCCACGGGCGAGCCAGCGAGGCCCTTTGCTCCCCGGGGATCTCACCCAAGGATGTGAGAAATCCAGACAAAGACCGTCTCTGCTTCATCACAGAGAGAAAAACGTGCGCATGCACACACGCATGCACAGGCCTCAGGAAAACTCTAACCACAGGGCAACCTCTGTGGACCCCCTGGGTAGGTGACAGAGCCACCCGACGGCCCTGTGCGGGGCTGGTAATCCTTGGTCCTAAGCACCGATTCAACTACAGAAACGGTCTTACAATGGATCTGTTGTCAGAAGAAATACAAAACTCACAGTCAAGAATACATTAAAGCCCCAACTGCAACCAAAGACCTTTAGGGAAAGTCAAGGTTATTCATCAAAACCAACCATGGTTCTTTCAATGGAGGGAGGAGGGGTGTCAAAAAATTTTGTAGTATTTGTTTTTCTAAATCTCTTTACTGAGCAAGTATATCATTTAAGTTGGTTGGGGGCGGGCAGATTATGAAATCTGGCCCACCACCTGTTTTTGTAAATAAAGTTTTATTGACACACAGCCCGGCACACGGCCCTGCCCACGGCCACACTGGTGCTGCTACAGCAGAGCTGAGCAATTACACAGCAACTGGATGGCCCCCAAATCCACAAATATCCACTATCTTGTCCTTTACAGAGTTTGCCAAACCTTGAGTAAGTCACAAAATCATTTTCACAAGGTATCTTGAAGCCCTGACCCCACCAGTGTATCTGTATCTGCAGAGAAGGAATTAGGGGGTGATGAAGGTTAAATGAGATCATAAGGGTGGAGCCCTAATCCTGTAGGACTAGTGTCCTTTTCAGAAGAGTAACAGAGACAGATCTGACCCCTGCCCCCGCTGCCCCCATGTGCGGACACAGCAGGAAGCTGGCGGCCCACATACCAGGACTAGAGTCCTCACGGGAAGCTGACCCCAGTGGCAGCCTGATCTCAGGCTCCCAGCCTCCAGAAGTGCGAGGAATAAATGCCTGTTGTTTAAGCCGCCCAGTCCCTGGTACCATATTTCTGCAGTCTGAGCCGACAGAAGACAGGTGTCTGCCTGGAAACTTACTGCAGTCCCGCTTTTTACCGAGCATAGCAAGCTGCACATCCCCACCACCTGCTGCCAGAATCTGACTCTCACCAGGTGCCAGGAAGCACCTAGAACCTGGCACATGGAGGCCTGGCCTCGGGCTCCACCTCCTCAAGGCTGCACCTGCTTTCACACCTGCAGCCCGAGCCGACCACTCTCGGGGGAACGTGCCCCCACCAGAGCCCCTGGGGACCTG